TACAGAACAGAATTTTGGACTCGGTGGGAGAAGGCGAGGGTGGGATGTTTCGAGAGATCAGCATCGAAAAATGTATAATATCTAGAGTGAAACAGATCACCAGCCCAGGTTGGATGCATGAGACAAGTGCTCGGGCCTGGTACATTGGGAAAACCCAGGAGTATCAGGTAGAGAGGGAGGTGGGAGGGGGGATCGGGATGGGGAATACATGTAAATCCATGGCTGATTCATGTCAATGTATGACAAAAACCACAACAATATTGTAAAGTAATTAGCCTCCAACTAATAAAAATTTTTTAAAAAGTGAAAAAAAAACCAAGAACATCGCATTGAATATCCTTATAAGGAAACCGTTGCCCACATTTCAAAATTATTTCCATAGGATAAAAGCCTGTAAGTGAAATTACTAATTGAAATGCTCTGAAAGCTCTGAAGTATGTGAATACCTACTGCCAAATTTCTTTCCAGAAAGGTCAGGCCAGTTTTCATTCTCAACAGAAGTGTTCAAGGGTGCCCATCACATATACCTACCAGCATTTATTTTATCCTTTTCAAAAGCTCTGCCAGTTTGATAATGGAAGTGGCTCTAATTTTAATTTGTATTGTATTACTGGTGGGGTGGAATATCTTTATATATTTATCAACTCTTTATAGTTATTCTGGGAATGCAATTTCACCACCTCTGTTTGGATTTGTGATTGGCAAATAGCACTAAGTGAATTGTTGCAGGCGTATGAGGAAAAAAACACAGAGGGATTTAAAAAATAAATGATGTGGTCACAACGAGTTATAGCCAAATTATATTGTGGTGTACCATACAAACAAAGGTTAGTGGAAGAATTGAGTCATCACGAGGTATGTGGTTAAATAGGTCTGTGCTATTGCAGTCAGTAAAATATTTATGTTGTGAGGGGCAATTTGGTTTCAGCAAAATACCATTCCTTATATTAAATCAACATTGTAAATTTTAATTTCCCCATTTTGTAGTTTTGTTTGTATTTAATTTGTAAATTTGTTTTGGTTTTATAGATGCATAAAATCCATAAAAATTAATCTTTTCCTTAGTTTCAAGTTTGCATATATATACATAGATATATATGTGTATGCAACATCCTAAAAAATAATTTAAGCCAACTCTAGAGGTCTATGAGACTCTTTTTCCCCTACAAGGAAACTGAACATTATTTAAGTTTGAGAAACATTGGTATTAGAGGGTTCTTAAAATTTCATGTGTAATTACGTAAACATAGGCATTGGGACTTTTTAAAAAAAGAAAAAGGTAAAAATGGAATCAGCTTATATATTTTATATTTAGAATTTTTCTATACAGAATATTGTTATGATTTCCTTGCCTTTGAAAAAAGCACCAAAAGCTATACTATGTTTAGAGTTCAGAGAGTATGTTTTGGCTTAAAATGTACTATTCATCAAAGTTAACCTTGTACAGGTCATTAAGATCTAGACCAAAGAATGTTTGGATTTATTAACTTGTCTTTTTAAGTAAGGCAAAACAACTGAGCATATAGCAATTAAAATGGAACTTCTGTGAAGTGGTCTTAAAAGAAATTAAATCCATTAAAAAAAAAAAAAAAAGCCCCACATATGATGTAGGAGCCTTGGAGCATGGGAATCAGTGAGGATCAGTTGCTCTGATGGCCAGGAGCTAGAAGGGGAGCACCACCCAAGGGATGCTGCAGGAGGATGATGGCCTGATACCCAACCCTATTCATCCAGCTCTCCCCAGGCAGGGAGGATGGAAAGCATAAGCCAGACATTGCTATCAGCATTACATCCAGAGTAAGCAACATCTATCCTGAAAGGAAAAAAGTCTGAGACCTGGGAACGAGAGGAAGAGGCTAAGAGGTAGATAGCTGTATCACTTCTCTTTGCTCGCAATCACAAAATAAACTGGTCTCTTTTCCTTTTTAAAAAAGGAACCTGGTGTACAGGCCAAACCACCCAAGGCAGCTGGAGAGAAGTGAAATTGGTTGTCTGTAAGTTACTCAAGCTGGTCCAGGTGTCATTCTCGGGTTCCCTCTTCCTGGAACCCTCTTCCTCTCAAGTTAACTACATGGCTCACTCCCTCACCTTCCTTGGGACTTTGTTCAAATGCCACTATGTTAGGGCAAAAAAGCAGAGCAGATGGGGGTGGCATACTCTCCTCCATCCAGGACTCAGAGGCTCAGGTTCTTCCCATCTGGTGACACTCTCAGTTGAACACATGCCTCTAAGTTCTCTGAGGAAGGGGGATAGAAGAGGCTTACCAACTCTGAACTGCCTTGGCCTGAAAATATGTACCCCTTCTGCTCATAGTCCACTGGCCAACACCAGCCACCTGGCTCTGCTTTGCTGCAGTGGAAGCCAGGAAGTATAGGGGAGCACTCAGAATATCTGGGGACGGGGGGGAGCGGGCACATTTGACTCTCACACAGGCCACCTTCTTTCCCCAGGGACTCCCTCACCACCCTTTCAGACTTTATTTTCTTCCATAGTACTTATCATCCTCCAAAATGCCATTTATTTTACTTACTTACTGTTAAGTTTCTGTCTCCCCCACTAGTACATAACATAAGCACAACAAAAGGAGAGGCTTCATGTCATTTATGTTTTCAACCTAAGTATCTAGAACACTACTTGGCACATGGTAAGAGCTCCATAATTGCTTATTAAATAAGTAAATGAAGTCTGCAATAACAGTTTGTATTTGTGTGTGGAGGGGGTATCGCATACACTGACCTGAGGATGCTTCCTAAGAATAAATAACCTCCCTTAGGTACACACAAGCATATACTGAGTGCTTGAGCCTACTGTGTGCTAGGCACCATGCTTGGTGCCAGAAACAAAGATATGAAAAATACTCCCTGATCTTCCCTAGGCAGGAAGAAACAATTAAAAGGTAATATTTATTAAGACCCATAATAAAAAATAAATTATGAGAGCTCAAAAAGCCAAATTCTTCTGACCTTTAGTGAGCATAAAATTTTATATCCAAGTATTACTAGAATGGCAATGAAAAAAAGAATGAGAGTGGGAGGTGGGTAGGGAACTCAGGAACCATAAATTGCTCCCCGAAGTCATAAAGGAAGTAAGATATGTGTTCTCTACCATTTTGTATTCTTGACAACAGTTGCCTTTCCCTTTTCATTCACCCATTCATTCTAGGGCCTTCCCACATCCTCTTTCTCTTCAGCCTTAGAGTACAGAGCAGCCCACGAGCACTTAGTTGAGAAAAACCTGGAAGATCACACTATTTTAAAATATCTCTTTCTGATAACTCCACAGTTTCAGAAATACCACCATTTGAAAACCACTTAAAGTATTTTGTCTTCCAGCCCCACCCCTGCTATTCCTCCTATACTCATGCAAGCAAATAAGCACACACTTGTCAGTCTCCTGATGGAAGAAGTGGCATCACAGGAGCCCTGCTGGAATTCAATAGCAAAAAGAGAGTGAAGACAGAAGTCTGGGGTTGGGATCTGTTCTATTAAAACAGTCATAGGAAGGCACTGAAGACATGAACTGGGCATCAGACAAGGGGAAAGAGTGAGAAAAGAGTAAAGAAGATACAGGAACAAAGAGGCATTGAATGCAAATTTCACCTATTTCACCATTTTGCTTGGGATAGCCTTGCTTACACAAAAAGGACACATACCTCTCTGACACAAAAAAGAAAGAGTTGGGCTCTGCTGAAAATGAAAGAAAATTCAAAATAATAGAAATGTTCCACTGTGTCAGGCCCCAGACTCTGTCTATCTCATTTCTCCTCATGGGGGTCCTCAATTCCCAAGTCTATATCCCAGTCCAAGTTGTCTTCTCAAACTATCAAACCATCTTCTGACTGGCAAGGGAGAGAAAAGGAAAGGAGAAGGCATGTAAGCTATCTATTGTTGTGTAACTACTCCAAAAATTAGAGGCATAATACAGCAACATGTATCATCTCATAATTTCAGGAATCCAGGCATGGCTTAGCCAGGCCTTTTGGCTCAGGGTCTCTCACAAGTATTCCACCAAGGTGTTGGCTCAGTCTGTGAATCTCAAGGCTCAACTGGGAAGGATCAGCTTCCAAGCTCCCTCACATGGTTATTAGCAGGATTTGCTTCCCTGCAGGCTGTTGGACTGAGGGCCTTAGTTCCCTGTCACATGGGCTTCTCCACCCACAATATGGCAGCTTGTTTTAGTTGAGTAAGCATGCAAGAAGACACGTCAAGAATGTAAGCAAGATGGAAATCCAGTCTTTTGTAAGCTGATCTTAGAAGTGACTTCCCAACATTTTTTGCTACATTCTATTTCTTAGAAACACTGCTCCAGCCCACACCCAAGGGGAGGGAATTACTCAAGAATGTGACATCCAGGAAGTAGGATCACTGGGAACTGGTTTAGAAACTGCCAGCAAAGAAGGTTATGCCCATTTCCTTCAAAGACTCTTTCTTAGACTTGCTTATACCAGTCCCACCCACATCTAGCTGCAAGGGAGCCTGGGAAATATAGTCTTTATTCTGGGTGACTATCAGCCAAGCCAAAACGTAGGGACTCAATCCTGAAGAGGAATTATAGGATTCTGGAGAGTAGAAGACTCGGTTGTTCTGTGTGCCAGTCCCAGGCATGAATGAGGAAGAGGAGCAAAATGGTTGGGTAGGGTTGTAGAATCTGAGTTCAGATCCTGCCTCTGTATGCCCATGCTGAATGAATTATTTAGCCTCACTGAGTATCACTGATATTCTCAGACTAAATGAATGTGAGCATCTTACACTTGGTAGGTTCTCAGTAATGTCTACTAGATCTGTTTCAGAGGTAGCTTAATATCCCAGAAACTTTTAAACCAGGCTCTGACACCCACCCAGCTTGCTGTGTGACTCCATGCCAGTCACCTAACCTCTTTGCATACCAGTTTTCTGTTGGTAGAAGGGAGTACAGATATCAACCTTACATATATTATCAGGTTGTTATAAAAATAAGGTGTGAATTTTTTTTTTTTAATTCAACATGCCATGCAAACTTACTGTGGCATTAGTGGCCACCAGGTGGCAGTGGGAGGAATGGGCTTGGGTTATGGCCCACGGCCACCAGATGGTGCTGGCATTCAGCGGATAGTACCCTGGCTTTGCTGGGAGACTGCAAGAGAACCGAAGGGCTCTTGAAGATGGCCAGTGCAACCCTTCATCCTACAGATGAGAGAAACAAGACAAGGGGAGGGTGTGGGGAGGATGTCACGCAGCAGTGGGGGCTGGAGCCCTGCTTTCTCAACTCTAGTGTCATCAGGGCTAAGGATGGCTCTTATCCATACACAGATTGAGGTTCTCACTTTCTCTCTGGAGATCAAGTTGTTCACTGTCTTGTTCATGGATTTACCAAATTCCAAAAGCCTGAAAAATGTCCACATATAGCGTCTGTCTCACAGGCTGTGTAGTACAGTGGTTAAGAACGTGATTTTGGCGTCAGATGGACCTCAATGTATATCTGTATAGTAGGCTCCTTACTGCAAAGTTAAGATGATAATTTCTACCTGATAGGGTCGGTGTGAAGTTAAATGAGATGAAGCATGTGAAAATAAGAGGTATCATTAATTTCTGCACACTTATCTAAGCAGTTTATGTGTATTTAATGTATCTAATTCTCACCGTAGCTTTATGTAGTATCTACTATTATTAAGTTCCTTTTATAGAGGAAGAAACTGAAGCATAGAGAGGTTGTAACTTGCCCATACTCATAGCTGTCAGTAGAGGATTTAAATCTGTCTTCAGAGCCCATGCTCTTAACCATATTTATTACTAATTGTTTGGCAGAGAGTAAATGCCCATGAGTGACAGATATGGATACACCGGGGCCAACCTGAAGATTCCAGCTGGAGGGACAAGGGTTTGGAATGAATGGTATAACCACAATGCACCTACACTTTCAGAGTGGAGAGAACAGCACATAATTGGAAGAAGAATGTTAAGTATCCAAGCTAATAAAACAAAGATAACTAACAATACTTTTTTAAAAGATTACTGAAGCACAGCACTGGGACTTTAGACTTTAGAGACAAAGCGAATAGGATTTGACTTTTGATCCTGCCTCCTGCTTGGACCTTGGGCAAGTTTAACATCTTGTTTCCTCATCCAAAAATTGAAGCTAATAATCTACCTTACAGAATTTTAACACTGTGTTAAAAACCATTGTGGTTGAAATGCATATTTAAAAAATGTACACATTAGAGCAAACATTTGATTATTACAGTTATTATTCCACAAAAACATATTGATCTGGCTGAAAGCAATTTAAGATGTTAAGATATTGTTCCTCCATTCAAGGAACTTATATAAGAAAGGTGATGGATGTACATACCACTTGATAGGGGGTGTCTTAGGAGAGCTGAAACATGCAGTGGGAATTAGAAGAGGGCAAGATATTTTTCTAGCAGTGATAACTGGAGAAGTTTTCATGGTTACAATATTTAAGATTAGGCTTGAAGGATGCAAAGAAGGTAAGGAGAATATTCCACAAGCTTTACTGGCAAAGGTAAAGGGGCCAGAAAGAGACTATTTGTTTGGGGGCAGTCCACAATAGAAATGTGAGTCAGGCTATAGAGTGTGGCAACAGAAAAGGAAGGGAATTTCTGGTTAGACTTGGCACATTACATATGCATTTGACTCTGTTCCTAAAATGACAGTAAATAATAACATTTAAAACCACAAGGACTCCAGGAACAAGAGAAGAGACAATAGCTGATGGAAGATACTAAAAAAATTTGGAAAGATGAAAAGTAGTTGGGTGAGTATTAACTGATACAGGTAAAGACAAGAAAGCTGCCTGCAGGGCAGACAGGGGGTGGAAAAGCCTTCAAGAAGGAAGCTAATTTGATATGAAAACCAAAACCAAAAAGAAAGAAAGAAAAACAAACAGAAAAACCCACCAAACCCAGGAAAGTTTAGAAAATAGAGGTACCAGGTAACTCTGAAGCTAATAGGATGGAGTTGGGCTGAAAACACAAGGAAGAGTTAAAAGTCTGATTCTTCTCTCCATTCCTTGTAGCCAGATGGCTTTTCCATCCCACCCAGCAAAATGCAGGCCTCTGGAGTGGCCAAACGAGAGAGCCGTGGACTTGGGGAAGATAACCAAGAAAAGCAGACAAAGCCGTAAGGCACCATACTGAAATCAGGGAGATTAAGTAAAAATCTCCATCCTTAATATTACCTTAATTAAAAGTCTCCTCCACCTCTGACCTCATTAGGCTACCAGAATTCAGAAAGCCTGGCTTACCCTCTGGAGGAAAGAGTTTGAGCAAGTGTCTGCTGGATAAACCGAGATGTGGTCCACCACTCAACCAGCCCAGTGCACAGGCAAAGAGATTCCAGTGGGCTCAGGAGAAACAACCAATTCAAGAAAAAGAAATTTTAACAGCATTATTTATATCCTCAGAGGGAAATGAAACCATTGCACCCATGAAATAAGATTGGGTCTATAGAAAAAAGAACCTTCAGAAATAAGAAAGAGCTTTTAGGAATAAAGAGGGTTAATTTTTTTTTAATTGTATAAGTTTGGAAGAAAAAAATTTAGAAGGTCTCTCCAAAATAAAGCAACAAGAGATTTAAAATAAAAAATTAAGGGAAGAAAGACTAGAACACTAGAGAATTATTTTAGAAAGCTCAATACAAGAACAGGAATTCAAGAAAGAGGACACTGAGAAAATTCTGAAGATTAATTGCCAAAGAAATCATTTTAAAAATTTCCAGAATGGTATAAAAGATTATACTGACATCATTGTAATATTTCAGACATCAGAAACAGAAAGGCAGATCTTTAAAGCTCCTAGAGAGAAAAACTGGGCCACATATAAAGGATTGGGGTTCATTATTCATCAGACTTCTCAAAAACAATACTGTTTTGGGGCAGGAGGAATCTTACTGGGGTGATGAAAATTTTCTAGAACTGACTTATGGTCATGAGCCAAAGATTGACTTTAGGTTGAGACATTGACCATGTCCTAAATTGGGTCTCTCTTATGCCAAGTCATCAAGTAAATTCATTTAAACATCATGTAACTTAATAAAAACAAGTAAATGCTCTGGCAAAATCATGTGTTAACCTGAAGAAAGCTTCATGTCTCTGAAAAATAAATAAATAAAACTTGTTTGTGGTGGTGACTGTTAACTTGGTAATTTTGTGAAAAATGACTAAATTGTATACTTGAAATGGGTTAATTTTATAAATCCAATAATATATCTCAATAACGTCAGAAAACTTTTCATAAAATAAAAAACTGAAATATATAAAGCATCTCAAATACAAAAATGTATAAGCATATTACAGAACAACTAATAAAAAATCCATGTATAAATATTAAACATATCATTCAAATAAATTATTAAAGAAAGTAAAACAAAAGCATGGCTGCATGGAAGCTCGAAGAGCACTGAGCTGTTTCTTCCTAATTCTGAAAGAAAATTATTTTATATCTAGACCTCTCTAGACAGTCAAACTGTTAATAAACATGAACAAAATTACTTGCAGACATGCCAAGTTTCAAAAAATGTGTCTCTGATGTACCCATTCTTATAAAGTTACTAACGGATAGAATGAGGAATAAACCAAGAAAGAGGACATGGGGTCCAAGAAAGGAGGAGAATCTAATACATGAGAAAGACTAGAGTTTTCCAGAAAGATGATCAAGGAAGCCCTGGGATGACAGTTGTGCGGCAACCCAGGGAGCCACTGATCCAGCCTGGGGCAGGAAAACCTCAGGCTCAAGGAGTGAAGTTTTCAAGAAGATAGTGGAACATATGTATAGATAATCCAATTTATTTGAGTATTAGAAAGAGTTCTAGCCTATAAGAGAGTTTGGAGAAGGATTGGTGATAAGTGCATAGAAAACTAATTGCAGGGGAGAAAAGAAGCAATTATTAACTTTAGTGGGAAAATGCTATTTAAAAAAAAGAAATGTAATCATACATAGTTTATTATGTCAGTCAGCTGTGAGCAGTATTTACATAGTCATAGCCATGTAAATGCTGAATGTTGATTTAACTAAAAACCGTGCTTCAATAATATTGAAAGAATGTGTGGCGGGGGGTGGGGAGGGAGTGGGTGTGTGCACGTTTGTGCAGGGAAAGAGCCTGTAAGAAAGATACATCCTTGGATTTCCCCAGAGGTAGATTCTGGGACTAGGACAGGTAGTTTATTTGGATCTGGAAGTGCAAGGGACACTCAGAGAGAAGCAGGAAAGCAACATAGGGAGGGGGAAACAACCAATAAAGAATGAGTAATTGGAACTTATTCCCTCTGGGAAAACTCTGGAAAATGGGAGGAAACACAGAATCAGAATTATTCCACCTGAAAGGGAGGAAGCTTAGATAGTTAGACACCAATTCCTGAAAGTCACTGGTTGAGGACTACTGCAGGTGGGGAAGGTGGCATATGCATTTCCTGGAATGTCAGCCTGCTGCATGTGAGGGCAGAGTCCCAGAGCCTTCAGCTACAGAGATGCAACCCTGGCAGTTAGAAAGGAAGAAGGATGCTGCATGGGAATGTGTAAGGGGCACAGGTGGGACACTGACAGCATCTGAGATAGAAGTCAATAGATAATATCTGAAACAGAAAAATGTACAATTACAACATAAGCATTTACTTCCACTAGAAAATTGAGATAAATACTTGAAGAAAAAGCAAAAAAAATGTTGAAAGTCATTACCTCTTGAGAAGTAGAAATCAGAGGTAAGGAACAATAAACCAGAGAGCAATTGGTTTTTCATTATATTAATACTTCAAAAGTGAAAGTCACTCAGTCGTGTTTGACTCTTTGCGACCCCATGGACTATACAGCCCATGGAATTTCCAGGTCAGAATACTGGGGTGGGTAGCCTTTCTTCCCAACCCCGGGACTGAACCCAGGTCTCCCACATTGCAGGTGGAGACTTTACCAGCTAAGCTACAAGGGAAGCCCAAGAATATTGGAGTGGGTAGCCTCTCCCTTCTCCAGGGGATCTTCCTGACCCAGTAATCAAACCTGGGTCTCCTGCATTGCAGGCGGATTCTTTACCAACTGAGCTATCAGGGAAGCCCTATATTAATACTTAGTAGGACTATTTCACTTTCAAACACTATTAGTTTAATGAAAATTATATTTACAAAAACCTGAACGGCAGTACAAAGGAAGATGGGGTCATGAGACTGTCAAGTGAGG